AGAGATTGCAAATAGCAAATCAAGTTAGGACAATTTTCCACCTGCTCAAGGGTGTGGACTAGCACTGGGGCTTGGTACTGGGAAAAGGCCCTTTCATTAGTTTCCTTAACTTTTATGAATGTCTGGAAAATATTTAACCTGAACTTAATTATTCAAGCCATGATGTGCTATTTTAAATAATACATGATATGTAATACTTCTGAAAGAACTTCTGTGTTATCGCTCAGCAACTATTTTGTGAAAGGTCACAATTAATGAGAAAATTATCACTGCCTATATATTCTACATGTTATTTTTCATAAATCTCACCATTTATAGTTCATCTCCCTTCCTTCCCCACTGGTTTAGGTATATCTAACACTTAACTCCAGGATAATCTTTTGTGACTATCTTGAAGTGGATTTCTGTCCATGAAAACTTATAGATGTGTTAATCTTTAAAGTACTAATGGTTGCTTCATTTTTACTAAAAGAGGGTAAAAATAAAAGCATACTCTGAAGTAAGCTCCTTTCTAATGCATTCACATGCATTTTTCCTTCTCTTATTAAGATTAGTCTGGCAGGAAAGATAACTTCTGAGCCAGTGTAAGCCTGGGGCAGAAATCAAATGTTGTCAGCAAGGCCAATGACAGCAGAAAGACCAAGGAGAGCAGTAGAGGACACATGGGAAAGCAGCAAAAAACAAAACAAAACAAAACAAAACAAAACAACTCTCCAAGACAAAATGATAAAAGACGAAGATTCAAGAGCATATTATAGATAACAGATAACAGATAATCAGAGTTGGAAGGGACCTTATAGGTCATCTAGTCCAACCCCCACCCACCCAAGCGGGAGACCCTTTACCATTTCTGACAAATGGCAGTCCAATCTCTTCTTGAAAATCTCAAGTGATGACGCTCCCACAACTTCCGAGGGCATTGATTGATTGTGTTCACTGTCAGAAAGTTTCTCCTTATTTCCAGATTAAATCTCTCCTTGTTCAGTTTCCATCCATTATTCCTTGTCTGGCCTACAGGTGCTTTGGAAAATCCTCTCTCTGGCAGCCCCTCAAATATTGGAAGACTGGTATCATGTCTCCCCTGGTCCTTCTCTTCACTAGATTAGCCATGCCCAGTTCTTCATATGTTTTAGTCTCCAGTCCCCTAATCATCCTGGTTGCTCTTCTCTGGACTTTTTCTAGAGTCTCAACATTTTTTTTATAATGTGGTGACCAAAACTGGATGCAGTACTCTAGGTGTGGTCTTACTAAGGCTTTATAGAGTGTTATTAGTACCTTACTTGATCTCGATTGTATCCCTCTGTTAATGCAACTTAGGGGTGCATTAGCTTTTTTTGGCTGCTGCTGTACACTGCTGGCTCATATTTAGCTGGTTGTCCACTAAGACTCCAAGATCCCTCTCACACTGGTATTGAGCCTGGTTTCACCCAGTCTATATGTGTACTATATGTGTACCTATCTTCTTGGGTGTTAGCTATTCCTACCAGCTTAGTATCATTTGCAAATTTGGTATGTTCCCCTTCTATTCCCTCATTTAAGTCGTTAATGAAGATATTGAAGAGTACGGGGCCTAAGACGGAATCTTGTGGCACCCCACTGCTTACACCCCTCCATGTAGACTTAGACCCATTAAGGATGACTCGTTGAGTACGGTTTGTCAGCCAGTTGCGAGTCCATTTAGTGGTGGTGCTATCTATTCCACTTTTTTCTAGCTTACTAAGAAGTAGGTTGTGGTCTACTTTATCAAATGCCTTGCTGAAATCTAAATATATTATGTCCACAGTATTTTTCTGGTCTACTAATTTAGTCACTATGTTGAAGAATGAAATAAGATTGGTTTGGCATGATCTGTTTTTAACAAACCCATGCTGACTGCTAATATTACTTTACTTGTTTCTAGATGTTGGTAGATCTGTTTTTTTTAATTATCTTTTCCAGTATCTTCCCAGGTATTGATGGGTCTATAGTTTCCTGAGTCTGTTTTTTTTTCCTTGATGATGGGAACCACATCAGCTCTTTTTTTGAAAGATATGGTGCAGTGGCTCTGAGATGACCTCCGCCAGCTCCTTTAGAACTCTGGGATGTAATCCATCAGGCCCCGGTGATTTGTGTTCATCAAGATCAGACAGGTGTTCTCTTACTATTTTTTTTTGCTTATTTTAACTTTTATTTCTGGTCTGTCTTTTACAGTTATGTTTTTGGTGGGTTGAGCTATAGTTTCTTTTTGCGTGAAGACTGAGAAATAGAAATAGTATGCAGGCGTCCTGAGCAGCATTTTTCTTGCAACTTTGAATTTGGGTTGGTCACCAGGACCAGAGATTTACTCTTTTGAGCTTTTGAACTGATGCTGGAGCCCAGTATGAGTCTGAAAACTCAGAAGAGTAAATCTCTATCCCAGTGATCGACTCAAATTCTATCTTGCATCATTATCATTCATGGATATTTTTCCTTTATGTAGAAGGAATTCTACCTATTTCCTTATCTGGACCTTCTATCATTTATTCCTAAAGACAAGGATGAGCAACCTTACAATTTTTTGCACAGTGAGGACGACCTATTGGGTGAAATCACATTGCACATATGGGTATGGCTATATTAGGGGGATTTGGGGATTTTCTTTGTTGTTTTACCCATGATTTGTTGACTTTAGATTTTAAAACTGCAGTATTCATGTGTTTCCCACATGAACTGATATAAATCTGTGTTGTTACTTTTCAGTAATTATGGTTAAAGAGGCCTCTTTGGTCTGCAAACCTTGACTTTCAGGATTGCATATAACCCAGATCGCTGATTGCTCATTTTTCGTCTATACGTCTACTCATCTATGTGTCTATTACGGATCGTTTTGTCCTTTTGTCTAGGCTGCTATAAGAAATTTATGGCCAACAGCTTTGCTGATCCTGTCTTGTTGAATTGCCAAGGGATAGAATAAGGGTTAGAAGACCCATTTTAAGTGTCCAAATTGCTTGTTGCACACAAACTGCAAGATGAGATGGCAGAATGAACAGTTTCATTTCAGATTTTAAAGAGGTGGTAGTGATGAGAAGGAAGATTTTAACTCAGTTCATGCCTAGTATGTTAGGATCCCCATTCTGTTCTCCCAAATATGGTCTTAGAATTCTTAGCAATGGCAATGCCCTCTGGGGAATTCTGAGAGTTGAAGTCCATGTCTCTAAGGGACCCTGGGGAAGGTATGTTAGGATTCTTCAGTGGTGTTTTTATCTGCAGCAAGGATATGTGAATGTGTATTTAGATAGGAGACTGAAGCAATGCTATTTAGTTTTGTCACCTTAAGATTTCATGATCTCACTGCACTATTGTTTGTGCTACATGTGTGAACTGGTCTAGAATGAGAAATCTGCTTGATTATTTGTGAGAGGCACCACAGCAAATTTGCAAAGCCAAACTAGGTGTGGTGTTGAAAGCTTCATAGAGCATAGTTTCAGCTGTCAGAAACAATGAAGGAGTTGAATTTTAAACAATATTAATACATTTTCCACATCAAAATGTGGGAAACTCAGCGCTAGTTAGTGGTTATAATTAAGGTAACTGAATGGGAAATACTGCAAGTGAAAGGAACTGAACCTGTTCCTTTCAGCAACTTCTCTTCCCAATAATTTTATTCTAATCAGGGTCTCATCCAACACTGAAGCCCTTTCCAGAGCATTCAGTGCTATTTTCCATGTACCATTTTTTTAAAAAAAACAGATCCCATTCTATCCCCCCCATACATTGTATAACTAGTTATTTGTAAATATACAAAATGGATGCCACACCTTTTACCTGTATTACCCAGGTGTACATTCAGCAACATTGGATTAAGCCAGCCTCATTGCTTGCGGTTGGGGAGTGTTTTTCCTTTTCTTGATTAGGCTGAAAAAACCATGCTGACTCGGTGGAAACCCAACCCAGCGCTATTCATGCAAGAAGCTACATGAGTAAGGTTGTTTAGTGACCCAGCTGGAAAGTCTAGCTCTGAAGAATGGATTTCAGGGATTTAATTATTTCCACACCCCAATCCATTCCCACCACATAGTTACAGAAAGGGAAAAATTAAAAGTGAAGGGCGACTTGAAATAAATCACCTGAGGAAGTGAGGGATCTTTGTAGTGGTCTGATGGGCAACACAAAGGTGCTGTTCAAAAGGCAGTTGGACTTCCCTGATTTTTTTCCTTGAAAATGTTTTACTTCTCATCTTGGATGAGAAGCGAAACATTATTAAGGAAAAAAACCAAGAACGTCCAGTTTCCTTTTAGTCAGCACCTTTTGGACAACCATGATCTGGATGATTGAGAACCTCCATAGGTGTCTGATGGGTAAAGGAAAAGTTACAGTATGTAAAGCCTAGAATAAATCTTCAAAAATATTAAGATAGAAACAATATTTTAGAATAATTTCTCTCTCCCCCAAAGAAAATCTTTGTTTCATATCTTTGTTTCATATCTTTGTGCAGATATGAACATATGGAATAGGAAACAAGGGGCTGTTTACATTTGCATATGACAATCAAAACTTTATCTTGCTTTCAGATGTAACAATGCAGTAGATACCATATTACAGGTGGTCCTTTTGTTGAATGACCCTTCAAACTTACGATGGTGCTGAATGAGTAGTAGTAATGACTGGCTGTCACACTTATGGTCACTGCAGCATCCCAATGGCCATTTATGATCTTTTTTGCCAGCTTCCTTCAAGCAAAATCAATGGGGAAGCTGGCAAAAGATCACAAATGGTGGCATGGTGTCCTCACTTGGTAACTCACAATGATTCGCTTAATGATGGCAACTGGGAGTGCCAGAGTTTCCATTGCTAAGTAGTGCAGTCATGTGACATTATGCTTTACAACTGTGTTGTTTTGTGATGGAAATTCTGGGACCAATTGCTGTCATTGAAGATTTCATAAAAGAAACACTTATGTAATATACTCTTGTACAAGGCAATTGCAGAAAATTGAGAGGGTTTTATGCTTAATACTTTGCTACTTCTTTTCCTTGTTTTAGAAAGAAAATATCATCATCTCGGAAAGACAGGGAATTCTTTGAGGTAAGTAGGGGCTAACATTCACCCTAAGCTAAAATTAATTGTATCTAAATTTTGTGTGATTATATTGGGGGGGGGGGGGAGTCAGATGGACCAGGTTTTGAGCTGTAATATATCACATATGTCACCAGAAAGTCAGTGAAAAATAAAAGCTGTTCATGACCAACATGTCCTAAACTTAAAAAGAAGTTTTTACTAGTTTCTATATGCTGAAAAGACTAAAAATGCAATCCTCCCTATGTTCATTCAATATAATTGTAATTTTTATTTGTAAATGTACTTTAAGTAGAAAAAGAATTATATTCCTGTTTGCTTTTAGTGCTTGTACACCTTTGCATCCTACGTAGCTTTTGTGACATTCAGACAAAAGAATCTCAAGGAAATCCAGCAAGAAGTTGGTAGATTGCTCCGGTCAAATATGTTCAATTCTGCTTTAAGAGAGAGATCCAAGTCTAAGGAAATGAAAATGGATATTACCGAAGAATTGATGAAAGCCACATTTGCCTTTCGCAAGTAAGTCTTCAATTCTATTTCTCTCTGATCCAACCTACCATTTTGTCAATTTTAATAGGAAGAGCTTATAACAGAAATTAAATATGTTATAGCTAGAGTTTCATACATGCATACTTGCTCACACAAGCATAACATTTCAGTCTTCATATTTTAGATTGGTTTTTGTTTATTTTTAATATTTTAGGCACGTTTGCTTAAATATCCTTTCTTTAACTTACACTTTCTTCAAAGTTGTAAAACTACATCAGGGATTGGAGGGAGATATCATGTCAGCTAACCACTATATACTTGTCACACCCAGTTTTTCCAAATTCATATTGAACTATGTTGAAATTTGTTCCAGGGTAGAAAAAATATGCTTTGCTCTTGTTAGTTGAATGTGACAATGTTATCATGTCTGACTCCAATGTTCTTAGGGAAAAAAATATTTGCCTTCTTATTTAACAACTCCCATTACTTTTTTCTGATGTTGCTATTTTTTGTTCTTAAAGGAGAACAGATGTTAAGCAGCCAGCCATAAGAAGTGTCATGGATCAGCGATCACCAGTGCTTAGTACTTTGCTGCCTCTGGCTAAAGACAGTGCTCAATATCTGTTTCAGGACCATTATCTTCGTCCCAGCAAAACTGCCCCACGTTACATCCCAGAAAACTTACCAGAGTTGTTTTCTATTGTGTCACCCTCCAAGTAAGAAATAACTTCAGTATCACACATTATGTAGTGTCAACCTGTTTATTTAATTTTATTTAACATATTTATATATCTACCTATGTGTTTCTGGGCGACATACCAGTACAACATAGTACAAGAAAACTCCATGCCATAACAAACTAAAAATAGTCAAAAATAAATAAAGTAAACATATAAAATAAACAAATAAAATCCAAGAAAGCGGGAAAAGAAACACACACAGGCTCTCATATTCTAATGTTCTTATCAACTACACCATTGTTTGTAGCCTTGCTTAGATCCCTTAGGTGGCTATATTTTTATTTATTCAATCCAGTTTTCAATTGTGATGACACAAATCTTACAAAGTTTTACCAATCCTATTTGAGTGATGAGAAGATTATTGTTGTCTCTCTAGTACCTAATTAACTTGCTTTATTTTCATATACATTTATAGTTGCTTTTACTACATTTACAGTTGCTTTCCTCCAATGAGTTGAAGATTGCATATTGAGCTCTTGAGTGTATTTAATATCCCTGTCTTTTCTCCTGCAACAGGATTGGTATTATTGGATCTCAACGCACCAAGTTTGTCCCTCATACACTTTTACCAATTGGGAGCACAGAGGATGAGAAGGAAAATGGGGAGACTCTCGAAAGAAGTGTCTCTTCAGTATTGTCAAAGGAAATAACCACAGGCTCTGGTAGGGCTGTTCAAAGCGGTGCCAGTCACCAATCTCTGGCAATTTCACGGGCTACGACTGAAGGAGACTATATTGAAAATTCCCAGTAATACATGCTAGTATGAGGGATACAATGCCCATGTTAAATCTCTTGGCGATTTTCTAATTAGCTTTTGATTTTATCCATTACTTATGCCTGAGAAAATATGGCAAGTTTAATAATATTAAGTGTCAAAGTGCTGCCCAAAATAATACATGAAAAATCCTCATGAGGACAAATACTATAAACACTTTTGGTTTGTACCAGTTTAACTGCTATAGATATTCAGCCAAAAATGCTGGGAATGTAAACTAGCTTTAAGTATTTGTAATTCAAATATCTGAAGGTATTTCTAGTCATATATGAATTATTTATGACTAATAAAGCAGTTTAAACTGGAACTTTGGATACTCATATAGACTAAGTTTGTAAATTATGTCTGTTAAACAATGGTTTGATTTAGTCCAACTGACTCAATTGCTTGAGTTCAATACAACACAATCAGGTACATTTAAAATTTCTGTTGACAGATTGGTTTTGCAAATGTGTTAGATCGTTCAATGGAATGTATTGTATAATTAATCAAGCAGTATGGTTTTCAAACAGGTAAAAGTATCTATATTAAAATCATAAGAGAAATAGGCACAAATATACCTATTTTAAGAGTATACCTACTTTAGATAAAACTGCTTCTTAATGTGGAGGAAGAGACTGGACAGCCCCTTGTCTGGAATAGTATAGGGTTTCCTGCTTGAGCATGGGGTTGGATTAGAAGACCCTCAACATCCCTTCTAACTCTGTTATTCTGTTCTGTTGTGTTCAATATAAATGTAGCAAGACACTCTTTTATTGAGTGGATGTTCAAAACCTATGATATTGTAACCAAGGAGTCTTTGCCTTGCATTTTACAAATCCCTCAAAGAAGTAAAATATGAATTTATTTAAAATATGGAAGATCAGCTGGAACATCATTTGCAGATATAGTGCCCCTTGTTGGCTCCTATCTGCTGCTTTTGGCATGCTAAAGGCAGCTAAACGGCAATCGTAGACATGATCTGACAGTTATTCCTACATTACTCAGATTCTATGGATGGCGATTTTGTTTGTGTGCTTGCTTAATCTTGTGAAGTTAATTTTATCCTAGACTAGTTTCAAACCCCAGAGTTAGAAGGGGGGCATTAGGTAATGACATTTTAATCACGGAATCTAAATTATCTGTACTGATTATTTTAGAGATCAAAGTGTTATATGAAAGCAGGGAATGGTTTTATTTGCTAAACTATAGTTCAACACAACTATGTGTTAACATAATCCATTTTAGACTGACTGGGCCTGTAAATATAAGGAACCTTGCATTTGGTTTACTAACATAATTGATAATACCCAGAATTCCTACTCAGTATATATAAAACCCTATATTTCAGTATAATTGTTTATTTATAAAACAAACCCTGCCCCTGGTAAATGCTATCTTTATTTACTTATTTCATTTACTGATTGATAATTTAAGGCTGTTTGACTCTAGAGTGACTTTGTTTGGCTTATTGTCAAATCCCCAAACCAAGAAAGACACATGGCGATCCCTTCAGGTTGATTTCTTCATCGTTCCACACTATAGACAGGATCTTGCCAAACTGAAGCACTCTACTAGCTACATCAAACATAATTTGAGAACTATTAGGGAGGAGTTGTCTTCACCCTATTTGTCTCACACAACTATCTGGACTGAGCTGCCTCTTATTCTTCTGGAATGCACTGCTCCTTTCTGGAAATCCAGCCTACGACATTCCATCACACACTATAAAGAATATAGACACAGATTTAAAAGACAGTAATAAACAGAAAAGTATACATGTCTGGAAACATTCCCACAAAATACACCTGATGGGCTCAACAACCGCTCTATTCTAATCCTGGGAAAGAGTCAGGTTTTCTAGGAGACTATAACAGTGGGAATTACATAGACATTCCCTTCTGTTGAGGGAATTGCATTTTTCTAAGTCATCTGTGCTGTACATTTAATAGATAATAGTTTTTAATAAATGTAGAAAAAAGTACATTTAAATAAAACTTCAAGTATATCTCAGATGCATTGCATCACTAATTTATAAAACAGTTACATTCTTCAAATTATATGTACAGAGATTTTTTAAAAGGCTATTTCCTATCCATGGGTCCCAGTTTAATAGATGCGATGGAGTGAAGAATACACAGGAAAGGGAAAGAAAAATCCAGATAGCAATTTTGAAAATTTCATAAATTATAAATGATAGCTGGAGTCAGTTGCGAGAAAGAAGGAGCTAAAATGGCCTTTGGCTTCAAATGACCTAACAGAAAGATCTGCTTTCTATCCTCTATGACACAATGTGAAAGAAATGCAGAATGAACTGATTAATTAGCTATTTGACAAAATCTTACTTGGATAATCAACTAGCAAAGATTAATAATCCTCTTTCATGTTTTTCAAAATAAGTTTGTGCTGGATGGATGTGTCAGCTGATTTTTCTCTGAAGAGACATAAAAACATTCTCTAGAATCACTATGTAGAATGTATTGGTTTTCTTATAATAGCTATACTAGGAAAATCCTGATTGTCTTCCAGATTTTATAAGATGCATATAGAGATGTAGGAAGAATGATGCCTTTAGAATCATGAAGGACCAGTTAATGTTGGGAATATATCAGTGCCAATGTGAGCTGCTAAAAATACCCTGTAATCTGGAAATATTAAGGGCCATGCTAGTTGGTTCTCAATTTAAGAACACTCATATCAAGTAAAGAAGGTATTTTTGCTCAACACACTGTTTTTTCTGGGGTACTGTGTAGAGGCTCCCTACTGGAGGTGGGTAGGACCAAACAAAAGTGGATAGATCACTCTCCCCTTCCTTTATCTTCCTTGCTTTAGTGTCTGTGGGGATTCTCAGTCATCTCCGTTATGGTTGTCCCAATGGTGCTTTTTCAAGAGGCAACTGGATTTACTTTCTTTTTCCTTGGAGACATTTCACATCTCATCCAAGAAGCTTTTTCAGTTTTGACTTCCATTCCCCACTATTCAGTCAGAACTGAAGAAGCTTCTTGGATGAGAAATAAAATGTCTTCAAGGTAAAAAACAAAGAGAGTTCAATTGTCTCTTGAAAAAAATACCTTTGGGATTCCTTGCTTTATGATTTCAAAAGAACAGATAATTACAATTGCCAGAGTTAGGAAGGGCTTTAAACCAAGGAAGGCAAGACATTTGATTCAGGGATTCAAGTTGTCTATTCTGCCTTAAAGAGTTGATCTAAGAAATATGGACCAGATGATGTATGAATTCTTACAAAGAGCTGCATGGATGAAATCTTACTAAAATATGCAAGGAATACCGATGCCTCTACCAAAGGTTTTTTTTAAACTGGCATCTGCTATAGAAAATAGCTGAGCATAATAATATTTGGGCTGCATTCTATGATCTGCCATTGTTTGCCTATTCTATTTTGTGTGAAATAATTGATCCTATCAGGAGATGAAAAGAAAATCCAAGATGGAGTGTTATGGTAACACTATATTAACAGGATAGCATAAAAGCATGTTTAACTTAACCATGATTTACTCAACCTAATTTTCGGGGTCTTTACAATTCAATGAACTAAAAGCCAGAAATACAGGTTGAGCTTGCACAATCTGCTAAATATAATGCAATAGGATTGTTAGTAGCTCAGTAAATTGTGCAAACTCAGCCAAATAGTTCCAGGCATTTTCCTCAGTCTTACAGCATGATTAGCCTTGAATAGGTAGGTCCTCAAGGCAGCTTTGGGCAATGCAGAAATGGAGGTGAAAAATCAGGACCAAAAGTGATAGTATATGTTGTGCTTTAACAGCATAAAACCTATCCTACAACAGATGGGAAATACCATAGCAAATGCACACTCCAGTGGCATAATTCTACAGTGATGATCTATACCTGCTAATTATGGAAAATAAGAAGCAGAGAAGCTTTGAACAACACAGTGGATAATGAGATCAAGAATTACACGTCTCGGAGATTAAATCAAATGTGTAAATTTGTTGTAGACCCAACTTTAAAGATGCCATTAAATAGCACAACTCCAAAAAATATACGTGCGTGATATGGTATGATGTGTATGAAATCCATATTACACATGGATGGCAATAGATGAACTCCAAAGGTTAACGTGTTGATCTATAACTCTATGCCCAACTTGAAATGGAGAGAGAGAATATGGAAAAACTGTGCCAGTTGGAATAATAGATAGTATACAATAAAAACAACTTTTTGTCCCTTCAAGCAGTGAATCTACCCTAATTCATTGATTAAAGTGTCAAATAAATGAAAGCAATCCTGTTTATTCCAGAGAAAAAAATGATGCACATCTATAGTTCATCAATAATTTGACTGACATTAATTAAAATTGTGCAAGAGAGTGTAGTATCATGTTCTTCACAGCTTTGGGACAAACAAGATGGTGCAAAAAGAAATGGTTGAGGATGCAAGAAAGTCCAAAAATTTAGTCAAAGTGTTTCTGTCACACAATCTTTGTTTAATGTCAGTCAAAGATGGAATCTATAGAATGAAACATTCATGTTGGCTTAGTTAAGTTATTACTAATATTGGGGGGAAAAGAATAATGGCTGCTTCATTGTAGATGTATAAATGCATTTAATCTACAACCTCTTAGAAAAGGATGTTGAGGTTGCAGCTGTGGAATATTTGCTAACTAGGACTTGTTCCTGAAATCAATATGAAATTGGCAAAATGTTAGTTTTCTTGTCTTTGCCAAATCATTTAAAATTTGCTAGGCAGTATAGGCAGCTCAGAATGTGGACAAAAGTGGAAAAAGATAAGCTTAACATTTATAATAAAAATGTGGCTCTGTATATATAAAGGCAAGAGTAGCTGTTTATCAAAGTTCCTCAGCTAAACTAAAGCTTTGCCCAGGGACAAACTATGTTATCTCTGGGAAAGTGAAGTTTTAGCTCCTAACATGGGTATATACCATTCTTGTAGAAGCATGTAACTTGCTGAGGTCTGGTTCCATCTGAGAATGAATCATCCTTCTAACAGGAGAAAATGAGTCAGGAGTAAAATTCTTTTCACAAGCTTATATGAGTCTTCTGCTTTGTTCAGGAGTCATAAAACAGAAGAACAACTTTTGATAATGTTATATATATTACTATAAAAGCAATAAAATATAAAAGCATGGCGTCACCCTTCTTTGCATATTTTGTGCATTGCACATCTTCAAAGTTCTGGTTTAGAATGAATTGGTAGACCAAAAAGTGGCATTTTAAAATCTAATTACCAATACTGTGCATAGACAGTTTAAAATATGGAATCAGCCAACCCAGTTAAATCTCAATATCTCCATCTCTTTCCCCTTTCTTCCCTCCCTCCCTCCCCACATACACCAGAAATAAAGTGATATGGGATTTATAGATTAAATGCAGAAATTCAAACTTCACTAATACCTCCATTTGATATTTGATGCTTGCAGGGCACACTAGAGAAAAAAATGGGAAAACTGTCCATATTACATGTATATGCTACTATATATTACATTATAAATTACACACATACCAATATAATTATCTGTGCTTTAACTTTACCACTATGCAAAATTGCTAAATCTTTACAAAGCAGACCAAGGCAGCTCCTCCCCAATCATTGCTCTCATTTATCTTCAGAACTGAACTGGAATTTTAAACACATAAGCAGATCTCTGGGACTTATAAATATACCAGGCATTCCTTCTTTCATATTTTCTGAATTTCTGCAGACTCTGCAGATGCTTTTCCTATTTAGGTTGGAGAAACTTTTTTGCACCCCTCAAAAGGGTTTCTTTAAGGTCAGACCAGAACACTATTTGGGCATGCATTTATACAATTGGACTCACATACATGACAGAGGGCAGGACTGTGCTTGCCAGACCTTCCCAGATTGTGGAATCTTTGTTGCTCCCCTATGAAGATGGTTTGCTGTCTGGAAGATTCAGACGCCTGATTAGGGCTGAATCTAAGATCTTTCCCTACTTGCATTTCACCAGTGTGGAATTATAACCTGGCATGCAATGTTTTCAGCTCATTCCCAGACTATTAGATGCATCAGCTTACACTATGCTTTTCCTCTTAAGTAAAGTTAACCCATTAAAGTAACTTATTATCAGACGACATATTGGCAGACAGAGGCATACCCAGTTACTAGTCAGCTACTTGACTAGTAACCCACCCAGTTACTAGTCAGCTACTTCTCTTTTAGCAACTTCCTGTTCTACGAGCATTTTGCACTTTCCTTTCCCCCCAGTTTTGACATCAACATGGCTTCATGGCATGGGAGCTGGTTACTTGAGGAACATCTCATCTTAATTACATTGTCGTGTCCTACCCAGTCAGGTAGGGAGGATACATTGTAGATCCCATCAATTAAAGAATTTCAACTGATAGGATCCAGAGCCTTCTCTGTCATTGCTCCTACCCTTTACCCCATAGACAGCCCCTCCCCCACTCTTCTGGCCTGGCTTTGCTAACTGGCATTGGTGTCAAACAGTAATATGCAACCTCAGGGACAGTTGGTGTCATGAGGATGTTCTCGCCTCCTTTTCAACCTGTGAACCGTTAATATTTTAACCATAATAACTTAAATTCTGTGTTGAATTTTCTATTTATACTTTCACATTATACTTTTTTATTGTAAACAGTCAGTTGCTTAGGTGAGATGTAGAAATCGATGAGTAAATGAAGAGATAAAAATTTATCCCCAAATGTCTAACTAGGAGCTCATCTGGGCTGTATGTTTGTTTATGTAAGGGCAGGTGGTCTATGCTCCACCCCATTTGCCCATGTGTTGCACAGTATGCATAAAAAGGTGGATCTTCAATCACACCGTTGCAGCTGCCCTCTTTACCTTTTTGATCTCTCCCCATAGAAACTCCTGCTTCCAAACAAAGGACATCTAAGTACCACTATTTTATTTGGGGAAGGACAGGAATTTGATGTGCTCTTCTGTTTTA